GGCTTTAGCCACTATGCCACAGCTTTGGCCCTGTTGGCTTTTTTTTTTTTAATTGGGTTGCTCTTTGTTGCTGAGTTACAGTTCCTTTTACATATTAACTCTATTAGATATATCAACTGCAAATATTTTCTCCTATTGTGTAGTCCATCTTTTCACTTAATTGATTATGTTTTTGATGCACAGAAAGCATTTCCTTTAAAAACGTAGTTTATTCTTTATCTAAAAGACTGAGAGACAGAAACAGAGAGAGACAGATAATAGAGATCAGCAATCTTCTAGTTTACTCTCCAGCCATCTTCAGTAGCTGGGACTGTGCCAAATCAAACTAGGAGTGGAATCCAATCAAGATCTCCCATTCGCCTGTGCCATCTCTATCAGTAGGAAGCTGGCACTGGGGAGTGGAGGCTGACTCAAACCCAGAACCTCTGATATGAAATGTGAATGTTCCAAGTGACATCTTAACAGCTATGCCAACACCCACATTAATGCACATAAATTCTTAATTTTGGTATAAGCTTTATCTATTTTACTTTTGTTGCCTTTGCTTTGGTGTTATAGCCGAGAAACAACTGCCAAAATAAATGTCTTGAAGGTTTCATCTCATGTTTACTTCCAAGATTTTGTACAGTTTGAAGTCTTATATTTAGATCTTTGATCCACTTTGAGTTAATTTTGTACATAGAGTAAGATAATGTTCCAACGTCATTCTTTTCCATGTGGATGTCCAGTTTTCCCAACAATTTGTTGCAGTTTGTCCTTTTCCCATTTTACATTTTTGGCGCCCTTGACTATGCACGTAATGGCTCATTTTTGTGCTATTTTAGTCCACTGCTCTATTTATTCCATTGATTGTATATTTGTCTTTATGCGAATACCACGCTGTTTGGCTTAATACACATTTGTAATAAGTTTTGAAATCAGGTAGTGTGAAATCTCCAACTTTGTTCTTTATCAAGATTGTTTTGATTATTTGGAGTCTTTTCACATGACATATGAATTTTAGGATTGGGTTTTCTATTTCTATTTATAGGGGATGCATTACATCTGTAGATCATTTTGGATAATATTGGCATTTTAACAATATTAAGTCTTATGACCATGAGATGGATAATCATTTACTTGTATTTAATTTCTTACAGTAACAGTTTGTAATCTTCAGTGTACAAGTTTTTCACTGCATTGGTTAAGTTTATTCCTAGTTGGTTTATTCTTTTATTATGTTCCTGTAAATGAAATTGTTAAGAAGTACTTTTAAAACTGTGATTTTATATTTTTATTTTAAATTTAAATACAGTATCAGGTTGATTTTTCTTGATTTCTCTTTTTAATATTTATAGATAACTTTTCTCACAGTAATTAAACTTGGTACATAATAATCATCTTGGTATTAGTTTATCGCAATGTTGGTTTCTTGATTTCTTCTTTCTCTTTAATACCAATCTTCTGTAAGATACCTCATGCTGGTAAAGTGCCTCCCCCTATTCATTCAAGTCTCTTTCTTTGAATTCTCCAGGAGCCAGGAGCCTGTCTCAGAGAGGTGCTCCTTTGGGTAGTACCTCACCTTTCCCTGCTCCATTTCTGTCCAGCGCCTACCGTATTCTCTTCATCTATGAGACCCCATCAGAAGTTGCTGCAGAGGGGACTCTGGAGTTTACTTTGCTGCTCGTAGTGCTTCTCCCATTTGAATGGAAATTGAAGTTACTCGTGTAACTAATATGACTCTGTCTCCAGATTATGTCACAACTCACATTGTGGCTGATGGTTTTTCTTCTTGTTGAGCTGGATGACTTTCAAGGATTATGTGGAAATAGTTGCATTCAGCTGGTTACCATCATCCCAGAATTTTTCCTGCAGATATTCACACATGTGGCAGTACATCTTGAATTCAAACTCTGTTGATGCAATCAATATGTGCAGATCTTACCATACATATTCTATTCTAATTTTATCCCCCTATTATTTGGTCATTTTTACTTTATTATTTTTATAGGACTTTAAAATGATTCTGTATATCAGAGGCAAAATATGACATCATTTCAAAATGTTCATGGAAGTGAATTAAAAGATAACTATATATTGGTGCAACAAACTTGCAATCTATACACATTTCTGTGGACTTCTTAAAGATCTCTCATGTGATGATGGGTAATTTTCAGTTTGTTTTAAGGTTTTATTTATTATTTATTTGAGAGGTAGAGTTACGGACAGTGAGAGGGAGACACAGAGAGAAATGTCTGCATCCGCTGGTTTACTCCCAAATGGCTACAATGCCGAAGCTGTGCTAATCCGAAGCCAGGAGCCAGGTGCTTCTTCCTGGTCTCCACTGTGGGTGCAGGGGCCCAAGGACTCAGGCCATCTTCTACTGCTCTCCTAGGCCATAGCAAAGAGCTGCATTGGATGATGAGCTGCCAGGACTTGAACTGGCACCCATATGGGATGCCAGCACCACAGGCAGAGGATTAACCTACTGTGCCACAGCACTGGCCCCAGTTTTCAGTTATAAGTTTTGAGAATCCTCCATGAATAACTGGATCACTTTATCTTATTTTATGAAACAACTTATCATTATTTAAAATTGATAACAACAACAAAAGTCTATTACTTGTTTTAAATACTCCTCTGTAGAAGCTGAGTCAGCTTCTCTAGACTTCAATATAGAATACTGTGAAAGTGACATGGCTCTTCATCATTTTAACGTTTGAGGGTCCTTGTCATGGAGCTATAACTGAATCCTCTGCGATGCATCTTCAAAATCATGTTGACTTGATGTGCACCCCAGAACAATGGTTTTCAATATCCCTGCATATTATCATCACCTACAGCATTTTGAGGATTTCCAATGCTTATTTCAAAATCAGGACAACTTTTTAAATCAGAATTTGTGGAGGCAGAGACCCAGACCTTGTTCTGAGGCCTGAGGAGGAGCCCAGAATGATGCCTTAGACTTAGTCCTGATTCACAGTGACTCATGCACACCCACAGGTGAGTCACTGTGACTTTTGAGACCACAGCTTAAGGCTCCTTACAACCTATTAAAAAAAAACTTTCTGGAAAACCCTAACATGCAGCTATATTTTTGTGACTTTGGGTCATATCACAATCTGTCAAAGACAATAAGAGCTCAACAGAAGTTCAAGCAGTGAACACAAATTTTATGCAGTGGTCTTGCTGTAGAGGAAACGGGGCTCCAGTTCAGAACAGAGTCCTTTCTGAATACACCAAAGAAAAGTGGGGCTTTAGGCCAAAGAGTAGGAATCAGAGGATGGAAAACTACCACAAGGAGACATCAATTCCAAGGAAAATGCTGGGTGAACCAACCTCCTGAAGGTTCCTGCTGAAGGAACAAGGTGGTCAGCTACCAAGGGTAGGGAATGAGTTTCACTGGATACCAAGAGTGATCAGGTATGGGGGATAGGGGAAAATTATTGCTAAACTGGATTTTGCAAAGAAGTTAGCACATGGACCTAGGAGAAGGTTCAGAGGCCTGACTGAAGTTCGGCCAAAGGAAGTTCACCAGATCCTCTGCAGTGCCAGATCATTCTGAGGAAAACTTCCGGTTGGACACTGATCCATGGTGGTCACTAGTGTCTGAGACACTTACTGGAGCTCTCATCTGTGGGAGAGAATGCTAGTTGGGACCATCTCAAGCTTCACTAAACAGGCTTTGGAAGGACAGTCCTCTCTTCATGTTCTGTCAGAAGGGTGATTTCTGTGGTTTCCAAGCCAGTGAGGGCTACAAAGGGGCAGGCTTAGAATCACCCAGACAGCTTGTTAAACTGTGGTTTCCTAGTCCCTGTCCACCCCAGTCAGTTTGTGAGTGAGGAGGTTTGTGGGTGGGATCTCAAGGAGATATTTTTATTCTTTCTTTCTTTATATATTTTTATTTATTATATATTCCATATTATTTACTTATTGTATGTTATTATTATTATAAATAAAGGATATGGAAGGCTAGATAATATTTATTTTGGGAGGGCGAGTGAGAGAGAGTGAGAGCGTCCATCCACTGGTTCATTACATTCCCCAAATGCCAGCAATGGCTAGGCTGGGAGTCAGAAATCCAATACTGGTCTCCCACATGGGTGACAGGAGCCATCACCACATGAGCCATCACCAGTGCCCCCCAGGGTCTGTGTTGGCAGGAAGCTGGAGTCAGGAGCTTGAGTGGGAATTGAACCAAGGCTCTTTGATGTGGGATGTTGATGTCTTAACTAGTGCCTTAGCAGCCGTACCCAAAGCCAGTCCCTGGAGTGGGTGTTTGTGACAAATCACCAGGTGATTCTGGTATACCCACAACATGAAAAGGCACATTACAGAAATTTCAGGAATTCTGATGGCCTCAAACTCGGAGAGACACAAATAGAACACACCCAGGGTTCATTTTCATGCTGTTCCCAAAGATCAGAGATGAAATAATCTTGCCATCCTGGGTCAAAAAATTATACAGGCAATGCTCATATGTCACACACATTGTTTCCATTGGTAAGCTTAGAGGTACCATCATATTTGTCAATCCATTCACAGTATCCCTTCCTGTAGATTTTTAAAAATCACTACAGAGCCGAAGTAATCTTATGGCGCTGTTAAGATATTTTATCCCCATAGGATGATTCTTACGCTCATAGACTTTGCAAATGTAATTCCCTGTTGAATACAGTCAGTGTCATATTGAATTGTAAAATGTCCTTCCCAGCCTAACTTTCGTTTTCTTAGAGAAATTACTACTCAGTATGCAGTGGTCACAATTTCTTCATAATTGCTATGAGTTTCTTAATGTTTTTAGACTAAAGATCCCTTTGAGAATTTGATCAGATCCTTGGAACACTCTTACCAGGCAATTGAACATATTTAAATGATATCACAGTTTCCATATATTTTTAGAGAATCTTTCAACATCCCTTAAGCATGTTAGGTCCACACTTAATTTTTCTAAGTCCCCATTTAAGACATGCAATATCTATACCAATTTGTAATTTAATGAAATTTTGTATGTTTTTCAGGTACCTATACAAGAATGAAATTCATGCACTAGATAAGCAAACATTTAAAGGCCTCATATCCTTGGAACAGCTGTAAGTAATGGAAGTGTCCTTACTGAACTGCTGGTGCTTATGGTTCAAATAGAAAACTTTTGGAATGCCAGTATGTGATAGTTGAACAATTATTTTAAGCCTTGACATGTGGCTCTAATGATTGAATATTCTGTCATTCGTTGGCTAGAAACCAGAATGTATGAGTTGGCGTGAAGGCAGGGCAGAGCACTCAGCTGGAATCCCAGTTCCTGTTTTTATTATTAGTTGTGTGACTTTGGGCAAATTAGCCTCCCTGAACTGCTGTTTCCATCTCTCTGAAATGCAGATAGCTCTGCTGTGAGGATTAAGCTACTGCATGCAAAGACTAGTTTATTACCTGCCACAAAACAGACATTTTATAGAAAGTAATTTATAATTGTGATTAAGGCTAATTTATGAAACAACTTCAGACATTTAACTGATGTGGAAACTCCTAAAACATGAGATCTAAATAACTTCTCATTTTACAGATGATAAAATCAACTTCAAGGTTAATTTAATGACTTGCCCCAAATTAAAAGTCTGTGACATTGTTACGACTCAGACCTGATTCTACCTTAGTGCACTTCATTGCATTGGAAACCTTATATAAAGCTCAGACTCAAATGCCAGAATTTCAGTGTTAAATATGCATTCCTCAAGTCCAAAAAGTTGTCTTATAAAGTTACAGGGCTACTGAACTACAAATGGATGCTTTATTCAAAGATTTCTCTCAGTCACGTGTGTCTACAACACAAAAACTATGAAACATTCAAGAGATTGTCCCTATTGATAACAAGTGATGGGATTATTTTTCTGAGCTCAGATATACAGAACACGCTTTGTTGTTTAATTGCTAGTAGGATTCCCATTTATCAGAAATGTTTGATTCTCAAATTTGTTACCATTGGCAGCATGGTTTCTTAAATGGCTAAAGCTATTTGCAATCCTTTCTCCTCCTCCTTCTCCTTCTTCTTCAAGATTTACTTCTTTACTTGAAAGGCAGAGCTACAGAAAGAGGGAGAGACAAAGAGAGAGGGAAAGGGATCTTCCATCCTCTGATTCACTCCCCAAATAGTCTCAATGGCTGGGTCTGGGCCAGGCTGAAGTCAAGATCCTTGAACTCTACTGGGGTCAATGACATGGGTGCAGGGGCCCAAGTACTTGGGTCATCCTCCACTCTTTTCCAGATGTGTTAGCAGGGAGCTGGATCAGAAGTGGAGTAGCTGGGACCCCAACCAATAAGGACCCATTTGGGATGTTGGCATCACAGGCAGTGGCTTATCCACTGTACCACAATGCAGGCCCCTGTAATCATTTCTATAAATTTGGATTTATTTTTCCTAGAAGGCCAATTATTAAGCTAAAGTATTAAAATATATAATAAATCAAATATATTTTAAATGATATTGTTTCTACTTGTTTTTTTTTTTTATTAATTTTGTGACTAATAAGCTATCTCTGTGAAAAAGTGTTTCTTCATCTTTTCCTTATACATTGTGTGATGTTTTGGATAATTTTTACTATATGAAGAATCATTACATAAATCAGTGAAGTGCAGATTCTTTAATAACAATAAGCAATTATATTTTATATTTTATTTATATTTTATATTTTATTTTCATCAACTATATTTACTGATGATTAATAAAATTAGCATATGAAAAGTTCTAATTGCCTTTTAAAATGCACATAGTTACCATCAGTAAATGTTTTATATTATGATATTAGTTAATGGACTTACTAATCTTGAGTAATGCTAATGTTTAAAGCATTTTTGCTTTCTATTTTTAAGTGTGATTTCATGCTCTTAAGAATCACTACTATAAGAGGACTTTTGGTATCCAAAAATACAATCTCTAATCCTTGGAATTTTTCACAGTTTTATTCATAGCTCTGAAATCCAATTTTATTTTAGTATATCTCTACAAAACAAAAGTAGAATTTGAAGTGCCTGAGATACTTGTTGTCCAAGTTCTATTGACATTGATTTTATTTTAATGATTCATATTGTACCTAATCCTTTTTTGGATTAAACTCCTTTTTGAGGAAGGCAGGGACACCTGATAAATGTTTCCATAGGATTTGAAAACAGTAGGGTATGGTGATGTCGGTTCTGCCACTGCCAGTTTATCCTTGCTCACATCAGTATAAAAATACACTGGTGAGTTTTCAAGCAGTCTTCAAGACACAGCGTTCACTACTTACACATGAGGAACAGGCAGTGAGGAAGGCACACTGAGGGAGGATTTGTTAGCTCAATTCTGTTTTTGATCTTTTTGTCACTTGAAAATGTGATGAATTACATTCTACTTCACAGATAAATGTTCTTTCTTGTTGCATTATGTTACGTTTTACATTTTAGCTACATCAAGTGAAGTTTTGTGATTAAACACAACCAAATCATAGACTAAACCACAAATGCTATCTTAGCATTAAGGAGGCTCAGTCATTTCTGAAGAATAATTTGTATATATATTGATTGAGCGTAGTCAGAAGATGGTTAGGGAGGAGTAACTGTGAGAATTACAAGCATTGAATTTTCAGAGAGAAGATAGAAATATCACATTCTATGAGAGTGTGTATTAAAATGAACAAACTTCTGAGGATGTAATGAACAAATGTAAGAACCTTTTATGAGGCATAACTCTCTCTTGTATTTGTGCATATCTTGTTAGCAGAACATCAGTGAAGAAAAATAGTGTCTTCAAAGCACATTTTCTGCTCTGTAATTGAGACAGAGGATTGTTTGATGATTTTACTTTTCAGAACAAGAGAAACTGATGTGTTCTTAGAAAGCATAATTCAAGAATTCTTGTGTTAATCATTCATTTTGTCAATTATTCTTCATCTAAAATTTCTGCCTTTGTTCCGCAGATATAATCAATAGGTTTTTTTAATCAATACATTATTTATTTTGTCTATGAGCTTTCTTCTGTCTTTCTTCCTTAATAGGCATGAAGTATCTCTTGTGAGAATTATACCTTCTAGACTGTTCCTCACATGTCCACTGAGGTGGGCATGTGATTATCCATTTTAGTAATTCTTTATGTTTTTTCCTCAATGTGCAACTTTATATCCCTTACTTTATCTTCTCTTTAGATATTTTCTTATTTCTGAATGGTGTATTTAATTTATAACATCCTTATTAGATAACAGAAAGCTTCCATATCTATGTAAAGCTGTTACTGCTTCATATTTTAAATATAAATTTCTTATTCTATCATCTCCAATTCCATACAGAGACAGAGTAGCATCACTGAGCATACAGCTTTAGAAATTTGATAAATCTGAGTTTGATTTCAGTGAAAAAGTTTGGCACTTATTCACTACTGGATCTTTAGAATCTCATTTTAAAATTCCAAACTTCAGTGTTTTTTTTTTTGTATTCTGTTTAAAATGAGGATAATAATAGTGATTTGCCTATCTAGCTCTGACTGCCTATTTATCTAGGAAATATTTGGAAAGAGTGGATGCTGAAATAATAATGTCTAGTACTGTTGTTACCATGCTCATTATTATTCTGTTATTATTTCGAATTTTTTTGTAAAATTTCTTTAAAGCTGATTTTATTTTTTATATTTTAAAATTAGGGATACAGTGAAAATAATTTGAGGACAAGGTTTTTGTTTTTTTGAAGGTTGGGGAAGAAGAAGACAGAGATAGAGACATAGAGAGAGAAATCTTCCATCTATTGGTTCATTCTACAAATGCATACTAAGTCAGGGCAGGGACTGGCCGAAGCCAGAATCTGGGAATTCAGTCTGGGTCGCCTACATGAGTGGTAAGGCTCCAACTGTTTGAATTATTACCACTGCTTCCCAGGGTCAATACTAGCAGGAAACTGCAATCAAAAGCTGGAATTAGAAATGGAACTCAAGCACTGTGATGTGAGATGTGTGTGTCTTAACTGCTGCTAGGCCAAATGCTTACTTTGCTGTAATTAAAAAAAAAAAAAATTGAGAGGGAGAGGGAGAGAGTAAATGGTGTAGTTTTAAATACAAACTTAAATTTAGCCAGTGATACAAGTATCATTAAGTTAATTTGTTTGACCTTTCTTGGTCTTTCTAGTTTGTGTTTAAAAACCTTCTAATTTTAGTTCTTAATATAAGTCATAACTGGCTGTAAATTGCAAAAAAAAATGTAATCTTTTTAGAAAACAGATAAATAGCCAACTTTATGAAGATACTGGTTCAAATATTTTATTAGATGCATTTTATTATTACTTTTTTAAAAGACTGTGGGAAGCAGAATAGCTACCATGCTGCTTTTGGATAGGTAATGTGCAAACATGCTGAATGGAAGCAACAAAGGAATAAACGGGTGAGACTTCTTTGCTCATCCGTTGCCACCGGGGAGTCCTGCGTTAGAGCCTTTCTGAGTTCATCTGTTGTGTTGATGACCTTTGCCTGGAGACCTCAGCATCCCTGGCGCTAAGCCAGGTGAGGGACAAGGGGACTGTTGTCAGAGGTGTCAGAGAGCACATGGGCTAGCACATGGGGTGTGGCTGGGCCACTGGGCGGGGGCTGTGGAAGCAAAGATTTGCTCTTAGTTGAAGGTTGTCAGAAAGCATGGGCAACTGTGTTTTTCAATAATAGCTCTTCTTATCTATAAGGACAGGGGACTAGAGGGAGATAAAGCTGAAACTGGAGAGAGGCAGCATTCACTTGGCTGGGCCAGAAGAGAGAGTTTGATATTTTTGTGGTGGCGCAATGTGTTAGTTCAGGTTGCCATAACAGATTGTCATCGGCTGGGGATCTTCAGCAGCAAACAGTTCTGGAATCTGGCCAGCCCAGGATCCAAGGTACTGGGAGTTACAGAGAGGGGTGAGGGCCGCTTCCTTGCTTGCAGATGGCTGTGTCTCTCTGTGTGCTCACGTGGTAGAAACCAGAGAGAGCTCTTCCTTGTTAATCCATCACAAGTGCCGCACCCTGGTAACCTCATTTAGCCCCAGTGACTTCTTAAACCCTAAACCCAGTGAAATTGAAAGGAAGAATAAACAAACTCAACCCTCATCTCTT